TCCACAGTGCCTTCAGTATAGCTCCCACCCTTGTGCATAGGTATAATACAGAACTTATTCTCAAAGAATTGTTGCATTCCAGTTGGACCTGTCTTTTGGCCCCCTAAAGGATTGGTGTAATCTTGCTTTTGTTTTGCCTCACTTAGAGTGTTTCCAGGTTTGGAACAGCTTCCTGAGGGGCATGTGTTGAAAAAACTTAAAGATACAAGTATTGGCTATAGGAGTCTGGGGCAAGGGACAACAGTTAAACAGTAAACAGATGGAAAAGCATGGGAAGGAAGAGGCTATGAAAGGAAATACTTGGGGGAATAAGAACTTTAAAAAAGTTCTTGTATATACTAGAGAAATAAAAAGCCATGCACATGCGCAGGGCTGGACAATTATTCAGAAAATGCCTGAGAAGACCTTAAGGACTCATATCTCAGTAGCTTTCAGGCCCCTTGCAAGCTAGAAGTGAAGACTACAGCCTGGCTAGTTGAAAGAGTGCCCCAACACACAGAGCCAGCCTTCAAGGACTTAGAGAATACTTCTCTTTCTTTCTTAGGCTCCACATGTTTAAGGAAACTGTCGGAGTACTAGGTGACCACTAAGCTATCAGAACACCAACTCCAGTGGCCACAAATGATAAAAATACAGACTTTACAAAAATATTTAAGAAAAGTTACTAAAAAAGCAAATAAAAAACAACAACACACAAATGCTATCAACTAAACCCATGGGGTGGGGAGGGAAGTGTGTCTAGAAATCTAATTTCCAGAGTTGATACAGTATGATATCAAAACATCTAATTTTTAATGATAAACAAAAAATAAGACATGCAAAGAAAACAAGAAGGTGTGGCCTACTCACAGGGAAAAGAGAAATTAATAGAAACTGTGCAGAAGGAAGCCCAGGCATTGGGCTTACTAGAAAAGAGTTACGTCAACTCTCTTAAATATGCTCAAAGTGTTTCCATAAATAAAATACAAAGAACTAAAGTAAACCAAGAGAATAATGTCTCACCAAGTAGAGAATATCCATAAAGAGAGAGATATTATTTTTTAAAAAAACAAATAGAACTTTTGGAACTGAAAAGTACAGAAACTGAAATGAAAAAAAAAAAACAAAAAAAAAACCACTGGAAGTTTCCAACAGCAGATTAGAACAGTTAGAAAAAAGTCATTGAATGTGAAGCTAGAGCAATTGAAACACATGAGTATAAACATGCAAGAAGCTCAACAAACTCCATGTAAGATAAACATGAAGAAATCTACAATGAGAAAGCTTATAACCATGCTGTCATAAGACAAAGACAAAGCAAGAATCTTGAAAGCGTTATAAGAGAAAGGCCTTAATTATATACAAGGACTCCTCAATAAGATTAGCAGCCAGTTTTTCTTCAGAAACCATGGAAGCCAAAAGGCAGTGGGATAACATATTTAAAGTTGCAAAAGCAAACAAACTTGTCAAAAATTCCATATCCCCCAAGACTAACTTTCAGAAATGAAGGAGAAATTAAGACATTCCTAGATAGAAAAAAACTTTACAGATTCCACCAGTAGTAGACCTCCCATAACAGAAATGCAAAACGGAGTCTCTCAGGATGAAATGAAAAGACGCTAGATAGTAACTCGAAACCATATGAAGAAATAAGGAACAAAGAAAAGGGTAGCTACATAGATACATAAAAAAGCCAGAAGAATTATATTTTTGGTTTATAATTCTCTTTTCCTCCCATATGATTTTAAAAACAAATGCATGAAACAATAATTATAAGTCTGTATTAATTAACATTGTACAATGTTTAATCATATAGTTTGTAAAAATAACACAAAAGGGATTAGAGCTTTAAAGGAGTAGGTTTTATGTACTATATAAACTAATTTGTAGTTTAATAAAAATCGATTGCTCTAAAATTAAGATATTAATTGTATTCTGCAGGATAGCCATAAAAAATTAGTATATAGGGAAAAAGAAACAGAAAGGAATAAAAGTGGTACACTAGAAAAGATCAATTAATCACAAAAGAAGGTAGGAATTATGGAATTGAGAAAAAAGCTATAAGATATACAGAAAATATATAGCAAAATAGGAGGAGTAAGTACCTCTTTACCAGTAATTACTTTAAATGGATTAAACTCTCCAATTTAAAGGCAGAGATTGGCAGAATGCATTTTTTAGAACATCCAACTCTATGCTGTCTAAAAGAGTTGGCTTTAGATCCAATTCACAAACGGTTAATAGTAATAGCATGAAAAAAGAAAATTCATGTGAAAAATAACCAAAATAAAGTTGGTCTGACTGTCCTGATACAAGACAAAATACACCTTAAGACAATAATTATTTCAAGAGACAAAGATGGACATTATATAATGATACGATCAGTCTGTCAAGATGTACTAATTAAGCATACATATTTATTTTACAAGAGTCCCCAAATACATGAGGCAAAAACTGAACAGAACTAAAGGAAAAAATAGAGAGTTCTAAAAAATAACTTGGTGACTTCAATACCCCACTTTATTTATTTATTTATTTATTTAGAGACAGAGTCTCTTGCTCTATCACCCAGGCTGGAGTGTAGTGGCACCATCTTGGCTGCAATCTCCGCCTCCTGGGTTCAAGCGATTCTTATGTCTCATCCTCCCAAGTAGCTGGGATTACAAGCGTGCACCAACATGCTCAGCTAATTTTTGTATTTTTAGCAGAGAAGGGGTTTCACCATTTTGCCCATGCTGGTCTTGAACTCTTGACCTGGAGTGGTCCACCCACCTCGGCCTCCCAAAGTGCTAGGATTACAGGCATGAGCCACGTCACCCAGCCCAATACTCCACCTTAAACAATGGATGAAACAACTAAACTGAAGATCATTAAGGAATTAGAGAATGTGAACAAAGTTATAAGTCAACTACACCTAAAAGATATAAAAATATATCTTTCCTTGAAAGGTAAGATTCCATCACCTACCATGTAGACCATGCTATGCCAGGAGAAGGGAACTGGCTTTTGTGACATCCTGGCCTGTGCCTAACTCTCTTTTAGACTTAAAGGATGGCATATGGATATAGGTGTACTGACACACAGGAGTGCCTTGCAGAGGCTCCGGGAAGCAAGCACGACGTCTTCCAGGTATTTTGTGAAAGAGAAAAATGATCTCTAACCTTCCCTTCATATATCATCTAAAGAACACTCAGAGAAAGCCTTGACTAGATGAGTTAGGCTCCTTAGGTAGCCTCTTCAGCCTTCACAAAGCCTGAATTCCATTCTCTGTGGCCTGATTGGCAGAGACATTCTCTGCCTCTGATTTAGGGAGAAAAGCAAACAGTTAGACCTTGGGAATCAAACCATGTAAGTTTGCTAACACTAGGTAAGAGAAATGGCAAAGTCAAGGGCGTTTTACTTCTAACATGTGATAACCTTGAATCAAACGTCTAAACATGTATGTATTCTAGAGAGCCAATATGCACATTGTAATGTATCTGTAAATTGAAAAAACTCAAACAAAACAACTAACAGTGTCTAATTCTCTAAAGCTGAGTTTTCTGAGAGCACATTTTCCAGTTTTACCTGTATTTATAATGAAGGCTTGACACATTGACAAATAAGCTTAGTACTGATAACATTCTGAGTAATACCATATTTTTATCTAAAAATAAATGGCACTGTTTACATGCTAGGATGATTAAATGTCTTGCTCTTACTAGTCAAGAAAATTAAAACCTTCTAACAAATTATTGTTTAACACAAAATCCAATTAGCTGAAATATGTTTAGTGACATTTTAAGTAGCCTTTCTATATAAAAACCGAGAAAAATGATAGAAGGAAAAACATTAAATCAGAAGGAAATTTCTCATAAAGGGTGTTATTTGATGTTTATAACAAAAAATTCCTGCACATGTACATTCCCTCTAACCCCCCAATATAATGCAAATAGAAGAACAAGCAAAATGCAATTGAGAAAAACAGTAATTGAATTTTGATTGAGTTTCTGTGATACAGAATATGCCTCATTAGCTTCTGTTATAATTGTTCCATTTTTCATTTTTTTGCCAAATGTTTATATTATCCTTAGGATTTGAGTGCAATTTGATTCATTGTTATTTTTGAACTATAAAGAAATGTCATGAGAGTTAGCAATAAAGTACTATTAGTTACTCCATACCATTGGAAACTTCCCATTACCTAATATTGTGTGAAATATTCAAGGCACTAAATACTACCTATAGTCTGATGATGGAATTGAAAGGAATAATTAATGTGATTGTGTGTGTGTGTGTGTGTGTGTGTGTTTGTGTTGAACACCTTGTTGTGCAAATAAGGGAGTATATTAATAAGCCTCTATCGATTTAGTAAAATAGTATCACCTCTCATGAACAATCATAGAATCCATTTGTAAGAGAACATATTTGAACACTGGACATACACTGGACATACAAATACATGGGAACTTTAAATAGAGAAGTTCTTATATGACCAATGGAATACGTGAATGTGTGATAAAACCATTTTAAAAGTCATTTCCTCTTGGGATTGAGAGACCACTTATTTATGGTATATATACACCTATGTGTGTACACATGTTTACTAACTATATTTTAGCCATGGTAATCATTTCAGTTACCTCGCTTTGTGCCTATATCCGTATGTATGTGTATATGTACTTATTTATACAAAACAAGATGTTAAGGAGAGTTTGTACATGCATTTAATGCAAGCAAATACTTTCCCTTCAAAACTTTGTCAGAATACACATCTGGTCTGATCCAAACCACTACAGATTAATCCAATTTTAATATAGATTTATTTTTTGTGTGAACCTAAATATAGTAGGCCTATGTATGTATACATTGAAAAGTATGGAAGAAAATAACCCAACATATTATCAGTTGTATTAACAGATTTTATGGTATTTTTCTTCTTGGTGTACACAAGATTATTTTTGAACTACGTGGCAAACATCATACTCTTTAAATTTTTTTTTTTTTTTTTTAAGAGACTAAGGTGTCACTATGTTCTTCAGGTTGCTCTGCTCCTGGGTCCAAGCTATTCTCCTGCCTCAACCTCCCAAGAAGCTGAAACTACAGGAACACGCAACTACCTGGCTTGCAAATACCACTGCTAATAAGAAGATATTGTAAATCTGATACCTAAGAGATAAGAGGTAACACACACACACACGCATGCAGGCACACACACACATACACACACACTCAGATCACAAGAAGAAGCTGAAAAATATTTAATGACATAGGAACATGTGGAAAAATAAATTATTCACTGTTAAACATAGGACAATTTTTAAAACTGCGTAACTTTTTTTTTTTGAGACAGAGTCTCACTCATTCTGTCGCCCAGGGTGGAATGCAGTGGCGTGATCTCGGCTCACTGGAACCTCCACCTCCCGGGTTCAAGCGATTCTCCTGCCTCAGCCTCCTGAGTAGCTGGGACATCAGGTGTGGGCCACCATACCTGGCTGATCTTTCTATTTTTAGTAGAGATAGGGTTTCACCATGTTGGCCGGGCTGGTCTCAAACTCCTGACCTCAAGTGATCCACCCGCCTTGGCCTCTCAAAGTGTTGGGATTACAGGCGTGAGCCACTGCGTCTGCCCCCAAACTGTGTAACTTCTAATGGGAATTTATACAGATGTAAGTGTATGTATCATGCTCTGTGGAGCAATGTATTACATACAATGATGTGTGCTGTCTTGGCCTTCTCTTATGACTCCTGCCAAACACTGTCTGACAATTCATCACATAAGCTGAGAAAATGGAGAAGGACTGCCTGGTTGTCTGGGGAGGGGAATAGGTCAAAGATCACCTAGACTTGTGAATTGGTGGCTCATGATGATCTCCAGGCTTCTGGTAATTTATTCTCGCCTTTCTTCTCTGATCAGTCTAATTTCCTGCCTGAGACAGACATTTTGATACCATGTGAAAGTGCTGAGCCAACCCACGTAGACTAAGTCTGGAAAACATTTAATTTCTTGAAAGAACAAGATTCCTGATGAGGATGGGTGGTTTAGGCCTTGACTTGATTTCACATGAAAAAGAAAAGCAAAAATACAGGAATTTGCACAGGTTGCCCCAAACTGTGCAATATGCAAGGCAGCCATGTTTCCTGGCCCATTTGTCTCTGGGTGGCGTTTTTTCAGACAGGAAGGGCAGGAGAAGACTGCTCCAAGACAGGGTGTCCTTGAAAATCTGAAGCACTACTGCCACCGTGAGGAAATCGTTTAGACAGACTAGGCCATTACAGCGTCCTTCCCGGGAAGCCTCGCCGTAGGGGAAAGTCTGGTCTGTGAGGAGGTGGAAGAGGATTTGGGCTCCAGGCTATAGGTCTTGTTGCCTTCTCCTGTAAGGCCTGAAGAGATACCTGGACTTTGGCGGTATCTTGGTGTAGAACCTGGAGAGTGAGGGGCTTGGAGTGAAGCAGCAGCCGCCAGGCGGTCCTGGTACAGGAAGTCGTGGGGCGGGGCCTCGGTCCTTCGATCCACCTGCCTTGGCCTCGCAAAGTGCTGGGATTACAGGCGTGAGCCACCGCGCCTGGCCCATCACAAAATCTTAATTGCATTCTCTGTGTCCTCATAAACAGCCATTCCCTGCCTCTGTCCCTCCTGGTGTGGGCAGGACAGTAGGAACCCTCTCAAAGACACATGTAGGTTCTTATGGGCATCTCTTTCCTGTTCCTGCCCCTTGGAGCAAGAGTCGGGTTTTCACGAGCTGTCATCTTGCTATGGATCTTTGGGTCTCTGGTAGCATCGTGCACAATCAACAGGGTTATTCCAAGGGAAGTTTACAGGATTTGCTATTATAACCTTCACTCTCCAGGTTCTGTAGCAAGATACCGCCAATGTCCAGGTCTCTTTTAAAGCCTTAGAGGAGTAGGCAAGGACTCCCAGCATAGAGGCCAAGCCTCTTCCACCTCTTACCTGACCAGATCTGCCCCAACAGGTAGCCCTCACTAGAACTCTATAATGGCGTAGGGGTTTCGTTAAACGACATCCTCACGATGGCAGTAGTGCTCCAGATGTGCCAAGAAGTCTTGTCTTGGAGCCCTCTACTCCCGCCCTTCTTGTATGAAAAAACGCCACCCATAGACAAAGGCACCACCAAACATGGCTGCTTTATATTTATCCCGGTTTGGGGCCAGCAGGTCTTACTGCTGCACTTTTGCTTTTGTTTTCCACTTGAAATCAAACAAGACCCGCCCTCACCAAGAATCTTTGCTTTCAGAAATTAAATATCCTCTTGCCCAAGTCTTTGAGGGTATGATTTATTTCACAGAGTTACAGGGCCAGTGTATTTCATGGTATAAAATTATCTTCTTCAGGGATGAAGGCATAAAGAGAAAATTACTTGAAACTTGGAGATCTTCTCTGGCAATCAATTTACAAATTCTGGTGTTCTTTGACCTGGCTCCCCGCCCAGACAACCAGGGAGTTCATGTTCTAGCCTCATGTGTTGCATTATAGGCAGTAATTTGTCATCAGCCTTAGAGGAGGGATCCAATAGATGTCATTGCTGCCTGCCACATATACTCCACATGGAATGATACTCATAGTACATATGTTCAATTCCTGTCGAGGTTACTCAGAGTTATATCTCATGGTCGCATCATTTAACATAAAAATACAACATTTCCCATGTGTTACATATATTTCAAGTATTTCCTGAGACTTTACACAGTGCCTATGTGGGGAATGGATGGGTGCATTATGTTTTCTCCCTTACAGCAAGAGTTAGCAGGCTTTCAGGCAGTGTCACTCTGCTGTGAGGCATGAGTCATTTGTTGCAGCAATGTGAGAACACCAAGGACAGACCAGTTCCAAGTGGGATATAGCAGGAGCGAGCAAGTTTTCTGAGGGTCTCAAGGGTACCCAATTGTCTGGAGAAGACTAGAAGGGCATAAAGAGAAATTGAACCACTGAGCATCGAGGAAGAGTTACATCTTCTTCTAGTGGACTGCTGTACATAAACACATAAACCAAGAGCAGTGAAAGGGATTGAAAATCAATCTATGTTTTAATAGTATTTGTTGGAGATGGCATTACCCATGATCTCACTTCACGTTATCATGTATGACTATTGTGGCAGTTATGTTTTCAAGAAGCATGATTGTTTCTACAAATTCAAAAACAGGTGGCAAAAGTGACATCAATGAAAATTATGCATTAGGGAACTTCTGTAGTGTATCTCTCCGGAAAGGCAACTCAAAACAATCAAGAATCTATAATTAGAAGATCATTGTCTCAACACAATATATGGGGCGTTTATAAAAAGTCTATAGGTAGTATTACACTCAAGAGTAAAAGACTGAAAACTTTCCTCCTAAGATCATGAACGAGGTAAAAATGCACACTTTTGCCCTTTTCTTGAACAGTACACTTAAAATTCTAGTCAGGGTCATGGGACAATGAAGATATATAAAAGGCATCCAAGTTGAAAAGAAGAAAATGGAAATTATCTCTCTTCATAAAGTTGATGATCTTATAAAAATGCTTAAAAATGCAGAAAAACCATATTTGAGCTAATGAACAATATTCAGCAAGCCCTGCAGGATAGAACATTAAATGGTAAAAATCAGTTATAGTTATGTACACTAGCAATGAACAATCTGAAAATTGAATTAAGAAAGCAATTCCATTTATAATAGCTTCAAAATAAATCATATTTTAAGGAGAATGTTTCACTAAACAGATGAAAGACTTGTACATTGAAAATCACAAAATATTGGAGAACTTAAAGATTACCTAGATTTTTACAAAAGACATCCTGTGGTAATGAGTTGGAAGACTAAATATTTATAATATGGCAATACTAGCCATAGAGATCTATAGATTTAATGTAATCCTAATTATTATTCGCATGAGCATTTATTTTTGGGAAAAAGAAAGAGCAAATTCTAAAGATCCTATTAAATTGCAAGAGATCTGAGTAACCAAAGTTTGAATAAGAAAAACCAAGGTGGAAGACACACTTGTAGATTTCAAAACTTACTAGAAAAGCTAGAGTAATCAAATCAGGGTGATGATCAAATGAGAATACACACAGTGATTAATGGAAGAGATGAAGAGTCTGAAAATAAACCAAGACATTCTGGTCAATTGACTTTTCACAAAGTTATCCAGTTCATTTAATGAGACATGAATAGACCCCTTAAGAAATAGTGCTTAGACAACTGGTTATCCACATACCAAAGGAAGTTAAACCTCTACCTCACATCATATGCAAAACTTAACTCAAAATGTATCAAATGTCTAAAGGTAAGAGCTAAAGCTATAAAACCTTCAGGGAAACTATAGGAATAAATCTTCAGAACTTTAGATTTGGCAATGATTTTTTAGCTATACAACCAAAAGCACCAATAACAAAAGAAAAAATAAATTGGACTTCCCTGGAATTAAAAACTTTTTGCATCGAAGTGCACAATTCAGAACTTGAAAAGCCAGCTTACAGAATGGGAGGAAATATTTCCAAATCAATTATCTAAAAACTGCGAATATCCAATACATATAAAGGACTCTTAAAAACAACAAAAGACAACCCAATTTAAAAAAAAATAGGCCAAGGGAGAGTGAGGTCACCAAAATGGTAGAGTGGAAGCAATCTGACGTTATCCCCCAAAAAACTAAAAACAGCTGTCTAGTGTCGAGATTGTCACAATCAATATTGCAGAACTGAAAATTGAGACTATGACGATCTGTGGGGCCATAAGAAAGTGAATACATATGAGCAGCTGGTAAGATTAATGGACTTCTCTCTCCATGATGGACTTCTTCTCCAACCAGAAGCTGCTAGGCACCACGTAGAAAATTCCCCCTGGACTCACGGTTTCCTCTATAAAATGTGAGATCCAGGCAGGCAGCTAGGTTCTCTCCCATTTTGGTGTCCTTTGCAGGAATGCTGTTCTTGCCTCACTCCCTAGACAGCATCCTGACTGCCTGTAGGAAGAAAAATCTCTGAGGGCAGTTAGAGACAATAAGTGGAGTTGAAGCTAGCAACCCCAGTGCATTAAATTTGGGGACTCCTCTTTTACTCAAAGAAGACCTCAAGTCAGAGAGGGCATCAGCAGCAACATGAAAATGAACAGGAAGGAAAAAAGAACAGGAAAGGCTATACTTTGGCTGGGAATGGTGGCACATGCTTGAGTCCCAGCACTTTGGGAGGCCGAGGCAGGCGGATGACCTGAGGTCAGGAGTTCAAGACCAGCCTGGTCAACATGGTGAAACCCTGTCTCTACTAAAAATACAAAAAGTAGCTGGATGCGTTGGCACACGCCTGTAATCCCAGCTACTTGGGAGGCTGAGGCAGGAGAATCCCTTGAATCCAGGAGGCAGAGATTACAGTGAGCCGAGATTGCAGTGAGCCGAGATCATGCCATTGCACTCCAGCCTGAGTCACAGAGCAAGACTCCATTAAGAAAAAAAAGAAAGAAAGAAAAGAAAAGAGAGAAAAAGAAAGGCTATACTTAGATAAAATAGATTAAAAGTCAAAAACTGTAAAGAGAGACAAAGAAGGTCACTGTATAACAATGAAAATGACAATACAACAAGAAGATATAACAATTGGAAATATGTATCTACCCAACACTGGAATACGCAGATATTTGGAGAGCAAAATGAGGCAAACATTTGAAGATCTACACAGAGAGATAGAATGGTGTACAACAATACAGGGACACTTCAGTACCCCACTTTCAGTAATGGAAAGCTTATCTAGACAAAGAAACATTGGAATTAAACTATACTCTAGACCAAATGAACTTAACTGACATTTACAAATTATTTCATCCAATTGCTCTAAAATGTACATTCTTGTCATCAGTACATGGAACATTCTCCAGTATAGAGCATATGTTAGGCCACAGAACAAGGTTCAACAAATTTAAGAAAACACCTGAAAATATGAAATTACTAGAAGAAAAGATTGCAGAAATGCTTTAAGACATTGTTCTGGACAAAGATTTTTTGTATAAGACCGGAAAAGCCCCGGCAATCAAAGCAAAAATGGACAAATGAGAGTAAATCAAGCTAGAAAGCTTCTGCACAGCAAAGAAAACAGTAAAGTGAGGAGACAACCTACAGAAAGAGAGAATATCTTAGCAAACTATTCATCTAACAATGGAGTAACAAATCGCAATGTAAAATGAACTCAGCTCAATAACCAAAAACGAAATTATCTGATTTACAAATGGACAAATGATCTGAATAGACATTTCTGAAAGAAAGACACAAATGGCCAACAGATATATGAAAAAATGTTCAACATCACTAACCGTCAGGGAAACGCAAATCAAAACCATGGTGAGATACCATATTACCCCGTTCAAATGGCTCTTCCTAAAAAGACAGAAAATAGTAGATGCTGGCTAGGAAGCAAAGAGGAATGCTTGTATACTGTTGCTGCAAATGTATATTAATACAGCCACTATGGGACATAGGATGGAGTTTCTCCAAAAAGCTAAAAACAGAGTTACCATATGATGCAGCAATCCCACTGCTGAGTATATATTCAAAAGAAAGGAAATCAGTACAGCAAAGAGATATATGCATTCCCATGTTCATTGCATCATTATTCACAATAGCGAAGATATAGAGTCAACCTAAGTGTTCATTGATGGATGAATGGATTAAGAAAATGTGGCATGCATATAAAATGGAAGATTATTAAGTCAGAAAAAGGAATAAAATCCTGTCATCTGCAGCAACATGAATGGAACTGTAGGACACTATGTTAAGTGAAATAAGCCAGATACAGAAAGACAAATTATCACATGTCCTCATTCATATGCAGGAGCTAAAATAATCCATCTCATGGAACTATAGAGTAGAATGGTGGGTACCAGAAGTTAGGAAGGGAGGGGAATAAAGAGAGGTTGGTTAATGGCTACGAAAATACAGCTGGACAGAAGGAGTAAGTTCTAGTGTTCAATAGCATAGTTAGGGCAACCATAGTTAACAATAATTTCATGCTTATTTTTAAATACCTAAAAGAACATTTGAAATGTTCCCAACACAAACAAATAATAAATGCATTAGGTGCTGAGTATCCCAGTTATCCTTTTTTGGTTATCACACATTTTATGGATGCATGAAAATATATGTACTACATAAATATGTACAATTATGTGTAAATTTTAAAAATAGGCAAAGGTCTTAAATATACGATTCTCCAAAGAAGATACACAAATAACCAACAGTTCTATGCAAGATGCTTCCATTATTAGTCTTTTCAGAAACGTAAATCAAAATCACCTCATGATACCAATTAACACCCACTAGAATGGGAATTACTTAAAAAGAACAAATATCAGTTGGGTGGTAGAGAAATTGGAACTCTTCTAGAGTGTTGGTGGAAATGCTACGAAAAGCAGTTTATCAGTACTTCAAAAATTTAAACATAGAAGGAACCATATGAGCTAGCAACTCTACTCCTAAGTATATACCACAAATGATTGAAAACAAATAAACAAGTACATGTATACACTCACTGTATATATTTATTGACAATACCCAAAAGGTGAACATAAGCAAACATCCATCACTTGATGAATGCATAAACAAAATGTGATATATACATATGGATATTATTCAGCTACAAAAAGAAATGAAGCACTGACATATATTACAACATGGACGAAATTTGAAAACATGCTAAGTGAAAGAAGAAAGACAAAAAAGGCTACTTATTGTGATGATCAGTACTGAGGGAAAGTAGATTAGTGTTTGCTAGGAGTTGGGCATAGAGTGGAATGGGGAATGACTGCTTAATGAGTTCAGGGTTTTCTTTTGTGGTAATGAAAATGATTTGCTACCACATAGAGGTAGTGCATTGTGAATGTACTAAATGCCACTGAATTTGAACATTTTAATGGTTATTCTTATGTTACATGAATTTTACCAACACAGTTTTAAAAAGTGTCAATATTTTTAAACCTATCATTATTTCCAAGAATAACTAATTATATTTGAAAAGTACTCAAAGTTATCAGTGAAGAAAACTTGTTTTAACAATTATACTACAGGAGAATTTGAACATGAATTTATAAATGTACATATTATATGTGCATAGGAAAGAGATAATAATACATAGCATAGATATTTTAAAAGTGATTATTTCTTCTCACTAGGTTTGACCTACCATATGTTTTCTGCTTATAATTTCTTAAATTTCTTCTAGAGTAAAATATAAAAAAACTCAAGCACTGAAAAGTATAAATCGATATGGATATATTCAAAGATTATAAGGTGATGCTAAAGATTTTGTACAAAATTTCAAACAGCACGAATCCAAGTATACTGAATGTAAAATGTGTGTGGGACTGTGTGTGTATTCATATCTGTTTATATGCATATACAGATTTTAAAATGCCATATATATGTTTTTTTACACAGGGTCTCACCCTGTCATCCAGGCTGGAGTGCAGTGGCATGATCATGGCTCACAGCAGCCACGACTTCCCTGGGCTCCAGTGATCCTCTCACCTCCACCTCCTGTGCAGCTGGGCCCACAGGTGCATGTCACCATGCCCAGGTATATTTTGTATTTTTTGTAGAGACAGGGACTCGCTTAATTGCCCGAGATGGTCTCAAACTCCCAGGCTCAAGCAATCCTCCTACCTCAGCCTCTCAAAATGTTGGGATTACAGTCTTGAGCCACCACACTCAGTCAATGGCTTATATTTTAAATCATGGTCAGTGTTATAGTGAGTATATGTTTGAATATGATATTTTTGGCCCACAAATTCATATCTTTAATTCACAGTTATATAAACAGAGACATTAATGAAACCATGTAGCTGCATGTGAGTGGTGTGAATACATCCGTCTTACAGTTTTCTTAGGGTTCACATCTAAGTGACTGCATGTGAGAGATGCCTATTTCAATTATCATGTATTGAATTTTGTTTTCCTTCTTTTGAGTTTTTAAAGATAAAATTTGAAGGTAAGAATTAGAGCTAAAATCTCAAGAATAATTTTAAAATCCTCATTTTCAGAGGTATAAGCATGTATAATATACATATTTATATGATATGTAAATATGTGTTTATATATGTATAAACACATTTTTAGATTAAAAAGAGCAATCAGAACTTATTTTTTAATGACTAGTACAATCACAAAGTTCTTTGTATATAATTTATTGTCTAAAATCAAGAAATTGCTGGTCTCAAACTCCTGACCTCAAGTGATCCGCCCGACTTGGCCTCCCAAAATGTTGGGATACAGGCGTGAGCCACTGCGTCTGGCCTGAATCCGATTTAAATGTAAATTTATTGTGGCGTTTGACTGTATATATTGTGACTGTATATACAGAAATTTTATCTATGTATTGAAAGTGGGAGCAAATATGAAAAAGGGTATCAGTGTTTTTTATTTTTATTTTTTGAGATGGATTCTCATTCTTGATGCCCAGGCGGGAGTGCAATGGTGTGATCTTCGCTCACTTCAACCTCTACCTCTTGGGTTCAAGCGATTCTACTGTTTCAGCCTCCCAAGTAGCTGAGATTATAGGCATGTGACACGAGCTAATTTTTATATTTTCAGTAAAGGCGAGGTTTCGCCACGTTGGCCAGGCTGGTCTCGAACTCCTGACCTCAAGTGATCCACCTGCCTCGGCCTCCCAAAGTGCTGGGATTACAGGCGTGAGCCACCGCGCCCAGCCTTCAGTGTTTAATACACAGTTGTATGGCATTGCTTTTCTCTTGATCACCACATCTTTTTAACTTCTTTGCAAATCCCACCTCTTTGTTACTAATGTGAAAATATAGGACTGATTCCTAACTGATAAACAGTAACACACATACACAGTAAACTCATAGGACATAGTTGTAAGCCGTTGCAGTTTAATGAACCAGGAAAATGTTTGTGTTACAATGTTATATAATGAAACCGTAAAACAAATTCCTGGGATCTATCTGATTAGCATTTATAGTCATTCCTGTATTTGTGTACATGCAAGTAGGGTTGTATGTGTCTGTCAAGCTTGAGAGTTATCTGGACTCTTATGTTAGAGCCCCACTAAATAACGGCCTTCCTCTCAACATACAAGGCCTACTGACTAGGTCTGAACATGGAGTAAAACTTCCAGGGAACCTGGGTAGGGAGTCTGGAGAAGAAACGCGTGGCCTGGTGCCTAGATTTGCTCTCCTCCAAGACCTTAAATGTCAACATCTTTTTTTTTCTTTCTCTTTAGACATGGATCCCTGAGGTTGGTCCCCAATACTACAAGGCAATTTGATATCATAATAGAGCACTGCAGACACAATGCTAAGTGAAGAGGAGTAGAAATGAGAAGACTTGGTTGAGCAGAAACTGAATTCTTGAAAGGAAGAGATGCTCGATGAGGGTGAGTGGATGACACCTCAGTTTAATATCCAATAAATGCCAAAAGTGGAATACCTTTACGCAAATGTAGCAAAATGTTAGGTAACCATAGTTTCTGGTATCTTTGTCTCTTCTTGGCCTTTTTTTTGAAACGTGATGGGCGGGAGAGGAGCAACTGGAACAAAATTAGCTGGCTTTTCTCGCACAATACTGCCATCGTGCGGAAATAGTTTCATAACATCCAAAGCCGTGAACGTTTTCTCCCTGTAAGCCCTAGCAGCTGCGGAAGGAAAAGTCGCCCAAGACAAGTTGACATTCCTACCCTTTTCTCTGAGGCCTGGCAGAAGCAATGGACAAATGCAAAGTCTTAGTGAAGTATCTGCTGAGTGAGAGACCAGGACTAAGCCAACTGCTTCCAGGAAGTCCTAGTACAGGAAACAGAGGACAGGGCCTCAGTTTCCTCATAGTGGGGACAAGATTAGAAGATGACACAGCCAAATGCAGACCCTTGGGGCATTTATGTCATGAATATGCCGTTGGGAGTTTTAGGCAATCTGGTTGTCCCTGTGTTATGGGGCTGTGACATTTACAGCAGCATTGTTAGGTTGCAATGGACAGGCCAGTTCCAGGGACCATCTATCTGAAGCCAGTGTCATTCACATGGTCCTCAATACACAAAAATTCTAAACACCGTTGCCTACAACTAGAGGGACCTCTGTAGAGGAGTGAGGATACATTAACATGCCTATGAGGGCCAGATCATCTTTTAGGAGAGCCGATTTGCTAAAGTGGATGAAGGCCAAGAATGTGATGGAAGGCCTAAGCAATTATCTGAGCACACAAGCCAGCAGCTTCTGTGACTTTATAAGTTCAGGAGAAAGTCTTTTGTCATAATGGGACCCCGATGTCATCTCAGTTCTCTCAAGGAGGGCAGATAGGTGGCTCTTTCCTGTTCGATGTCCTTGAGAGGTATGGCATTGTTTAGGCCTGAGCAAATCATTATGTACTGCATCCAAGCTAGTATTTTCTCTAGCAGCTTCAAATCCATTTCCTAATGAAGATATCCAACCTTTGGTATGGAGACCTCCAGATACTCTATGACTCATAATTGAAGAATCAATAAGGGTGACTAAAAGTGTATGGGTGACTTGATCCTCATGACATTCTTCCTCAGAGTTTATTATCTTAGTATCTGAATTCTTAATGAAAGGAATTAATGTTAGTCTGGTTCTGCACTGTGACATTACAGTGCTTCAAGAGCTTGTTCAGGTATGACCTCTCCTGGCCTCTGAGGATTCAGGCAGGCATTCCAGGGTAAGGCATTCTAGGGTAGCCTGGCTTTTTTGACATCTTTCACTGTGTCTAGCTCTCACTCTAGCTGGTTTTGTTGAGTTGAGTGATGATCTGCAGACATAGATGATATTGGCATGCATGAATGTCCTGGAGACTCTAGGGGAAACATTTCCCCATGATCCCTGTTCCTGGAAAGGACAAAAAGGATATCTTACCTCCCCGGAGCATTTCACCTAAAGTAAACTTAGACATCTGCTAAACTGCCTCCCTCCTATGGAGGAATAGTTTGATCCGACCATTTTCATGGAAGAATACAGACCTACCTATGGGACAGTGTCTCATATCTGAAGGTAGAAATGCTGGTGGTGCCAAACCTAGAATTCTTTAGGCTAAGTGATCTTTTATTCACCCCTTGCTAGCTATCTTTAATAAAGTGGCTATGTGCCTGGGCAGTGGATGGAAGCCTGGAAAGGAAATCACAGCTAGCCAACTACCAGTGGCAGTGACAAGGAGATTGATTGGTTTATTCTGCAATGAAAGGTAGTGTGGAGGGGCAATGAGCCTCTCATTCCCATTTAGGTTGGATACATGTCATTCATCTGTACCAGGTAGTCCCTTTATCCCTCACAATTTCTTTCTTTTTTTTTTTTTTTAAGGCCGAGTTGCCTTCTGTTGCCCAGGCTGCGGTGCAGTGGCATGATCTCGGCTCACTGCAACCTCCGCCTCCTGAGTTCAACCAATTCTCCTGCCTCTGCCTCCCAAGCAACTGGGACTACAGCCGTGCACCACCACAAACAGTAAATTTTTGTATTTTTAGTAGAGACGGGGTTTCACCATATTGGCCAGGCTGGTCTCCAACTCCTGACCTCGTGATCCACCTGCCTTGGCCTCGCAAAGTGCTGGGATTACAGGCGTGAGCCACCGCGCCTGGCCCATCACAAAATCTTAATTTTATTCTCTGTGTCTTCATAAATAACCATTCCCTGCCTCTAATTTAGGGAGAAAAGAAAAATTATAGAACCTTGAGGATTAAACCTACCATACCGTAAGATAAATGATAAAGTATGTGTTACTCTACTTCTAACATGTCAGAAACTTAAACCAAACATATAGTCAAGTATGTATTCTATAGAGCCAGTATGCACATTGTGATGTATCTGTAATAATTTAAACAAAAAATTGGCCAGGTGCGGTGGCTCACGCCTGCAATCTCAGCACTTTGGGAGGCCGAGGTGGGCGGATCACCTGAGGTCGGGAGTTCAAGACCAGCCTGACCAACATGGAGAAACCCCATCTCTAATAAAACTACAAATTTAGCCAGGCCTGGTGGTGCATGCCTGTAATCCCAGCTACTTGGGAGGCTAAGGCAGGAGAATCGCTTGAACCTGGGAGGCAGAAGTTGCGGTGAGCCGAGATCAGGCCGTTGCACTCCAGCCTGGGCAAAAAGAGCAAAACTCCGTCTCAAAAATAAATAAATAAATAGTGTCTGCTTTTCTAAAGGAATGTTTTTGAGCATATATTTTTCAGATTTTCCTTCATTTACACTGAAGACTTGAAATGTTGAAAACAACGTTTAGTATTGATGATATTTAAATGAATTAATGCTCTTGAAAGCTTTGTTAAAATACATACTTGATCTGCTCCAAACCACAATGTAGAGTGTAACCCAATTTCAATACAGATTTATTATTTGCATGAAATTAGGAATGTATATATAGCCGGGTACAGTGGGTCGCACTTGTAATCCCAGGACTTTGGGAGGCTAAGGTGTTTGGATGCCTCGAGGTCAGGAGTTTGAGACCAGCCTGGCCA